TCTTACACCACTCATCTTACACCACTCAACTTACACCACTCAACTCAAACCACCTATCTTACACCCATCGTCTTACACCACTCATCTTACACCACTCAGCTCACACCACCTATCTTACACCACATATCTCACACCACTCATCTTACACCAGTCATCTTACATCACTCATCTTACACCACTCAACTCACACCACTCGTCTGACACCACCCATCTTACACCACCTATCTCACACCGCACATCTTACACTACTCATCTTACACTACTCAACTCACACCCCCATCTTACTGATCTTACACCACTCAATTCACCATTCATCTCACACCTCCTGTCTTACACCACCCATCTCACACCACCTATCTCACACCACCCATCTTACACTTCTCCTCTTACACCACTCGACTCACACCACGTATCTTACACCACCTGTCTTACATCACCTATCTCACACCACCCATCTTACACCACTCATCTTACACCACTCAACAACTCACACCACCCATCTTACACCATCTATCTCACACAGCCCATCTTACACCAGTCATCTTACACCACTCAACAACTCTGCCATCTTACACCATATATCTCACACCACCCATCTTACACCAGTCATCTTACACCACTCAACTCACACCGCCTGCCAGATTTCGTGGCAGGCGCAGTACACAGAGCCTTCTGGATGAGCTGCGGCGGGCGCCGCTGGCCGCGCGTGGCTGAGTGCAGATTTCGTGGCAGGCGCAGCACTTGGTGAACCTGGAGTGCAGATTTCGTGGCAGGTCACACCGCCCATCTTACACCAGTCATCTTACACCGCTCAACTCACACCACCTGCCAGATTTCGTGGCAGGCGCAGTACACAGAGCCTTCTGGATGAGCTGCGGCGCGGGTGGGCGCCGCTGGGCCGCGCTTGGCTGAGTGCAGATTTCGTGGCAGGCGCAGCGCTCGGTGAACCTGGAGTGCAGATTCCGTGGCAGGTGCAGTACACAGAATCTCCTGGATCAGCTGCGGCGCGCGTGGGCGCCGCTGGGCCGCAGATTTCATCGCAGTACACAGAGCCTCCTGGGTCAGCTGGGGCGCGCGTGGCTGAGTGCAGATTTCGCGGCAGGCTTCGTGGTAGGCGCAGTGCACAGAGCCTCCTGGATCGGCTGCCACCACTCATCACACACCACCATCCATCTTACACCACTCATCTACTCGCACCACCGATCTTACACCACCTATCTCACACCACCCATCTTACACCACTCATCTTACACCACTCAACTCACACCAAGTATCTTACACCACCTATCTCACACCACCCATCTTACACTACTCATCGTACACCACTCAACTCACACCTTACACTACTCATCTCACACACCACTCATCACACACCACGCATCTTACACCGCTCATCACACGCCACTCATCGCACACCACTCATCACACGCCACTCATCACACACCACTCATTATACACCACTCATCACACACCACTCATCACGCACCACTCATCTTACACCACTCAACTTACACCGCTCGTCACACACCACTCATCGCACACCACTCATCACACACCACTCATCACACACCACTCATCACACACCACTCATCTGACACCACTCATCACACACCACTCATCTCACACCACTCATCACACTCCACTCATCACACACCACTCATCCCACACCACTGATCTTACACCACTCATCACACACCACTCATCACACACCACTCATCACGCTTCACTCATCACACACCACTCATCACACACCACTCATCTCACTTCACTCATCACACACCACTCCTCACACACCACTCATCACGCGCCACTCATCTTACAGCACTCATTACACACCACTCATCTTACACCACTCATCACACACCACTCATCACACACCACTCATCTTACACCACTCATCACACACCACTCATCTCACACCACTCATCTCACATCACTCATCACACACAACTCATCACACACCACTCATCACACACCACTCATCACACACCACTCATCACACACCACTCATCACACACCACTCGTCGCACGCCACTCATCTCATTCACTTCTATCATCCAGTATCTTTCCGTCCTCGTTTCTTATCAGTCTCTACTTCTCGTTGATAGTTCTTGCAAGCTTAACATGTGGGGTTGTCCGGTCCGTTTATTCTACAAGGTTGGAGGCCATCGCTACTAGGGTGGAGGCCATCGCTATTAGGTTTCTTTTGCTACAAGGTTGGAAGCCGTCGCTACTAGGGTGGAGGCCATCAGGAATAGGTCACTACTAGGGTGGCGGCCCTCGCTATTAGGTTCCTTTTGCTAGAAGGTTGGAGGCCATCGCTAATTGGGTGGAGGCCACCGCCATTAGGTTCTTTTTGCTATTTTGTTGGAGGCCATCGCTACTAGGGTGGAGGCCGTCGCTATTCGGTTCCTTTTGCTACAAGGTTGGAGGCCATCACTACTAGGGTGGAAGCCATCGCTCTCAGGTTCCTCTTGCTACAAGGTTGGAGGCCATCGCTACTAGGGTGGAGGCCATCACTATTAGGTTCCTTTTGCTACAGGGTTGGAGGCCATCGCGACTAGGGTGGAGGCCATCGCTATTAGGTTCCTTTTGCTACAAGGTTG